TACTCTTGTAAAATAATTTAAGATGCAAAATTCAAATGAAATGATTTATCATTTCCGTGATGGTTTTATAGTCAATATTAGAACTGATGATAATAATGAAACTTAAAAAAATTTGCAGAGCTTTTTGAACACTAAAATGGGTTTCCTTTTTATACTTTCGCTTAGTTGCCGTATTTTCAAAACAGCATTAAAACAAGTACTATATTCCTTGAAAACTGAGATAGTAATAAAACTAAAAACATCAATATTGATGACTTTCCATTGTATTATATAGGAAGAAAACTGCATTTATAATTAATTTGCAACTTTAAGGCATTCAGGACCCTGAAATACTGTAAAATTTTTATTGGGTAATACACTTATTTGATACGTCCTTCAGAGAAATTGATGAAAAAAACATACATTTATGAGTTGATTAAAATACAAGTCGGAAATTACTGTGTTCTTCAGAAAGGTATGTAGTCATATCAAAACAATATTCACTGTATATGATTAAGAAAAAGAAAGAAGTTGCTACTTGAATATGAAAGGAAAATAATAAAAATATTTATTTTCAAGTCACGTTTTTTATTTCAAGGTCATCTGTTATGGAAGATACCATGTTTTAGGATGTGTCAGAAAGCAGGGAAGGGTTAATTCTCAATCCTCATTCTTTCCCTAAGAAGACCAGGGGAGTTTCCTATTTCTTAGTTTGGAAAATTATTTATTCAATTACTAAAAACTTATTGACTATTTAGAATGTGCCAGGCACTCTGCTGGAAATGTCATGGTATAAGCAAGTCCTCACTTATAGGAAATTTCTGCCTACATTATATAGTATTAAACACATTGTATTAAAGGACATGGTGTATTTAAGGCATGGCATACAGTAAGTACTCAATAAGGGAGAGTTATTATTCACATCCTATGACATCCTTCACAGCTATTTTTATCTACTGAGGTACAGAGTTTAAAATTTCACTTAAAATTTGAAATTCAAATGAAATTATCATAATTTATATGATGGTTTCATAGTCAAAATATTAAAACAACATATAATAATGAAACTTCAAAAAAAATTTATAGAACTTTTTGCACACCAAAATGTGTCTCCTTTTCATACTTTTGCTACAAGAGTACTTAATCATAACTATTCCATGCATATTTCTAGAAAATTTTATGAATACCATAGTTTAATAAATTGAGCAGAACAGAATTATGTGGCAACTCACTATACTATAAACACAAATGCTTTCAGGTTAACTGGATTTCTCTTGAGATAAAATGTGATTATTCTTAAATACTTTAAAACATGTAAATGTGGTCGAAACAACACCTTTTGTTATGAACCTGCTCATTAAATTAACTGTTACTAACTTTGGAATCCAACTCACTATTTCAAAGAACCACCGAAAAATAAGCAGGAAAGTAATACAAACTCTAAAAATTAAATGTAAACCCCTAACATTTAAATTATGTCTTGGTAAGTATTAATAGAATATCTAGAGCCATGCTACTTAATATCGTAACTCCTAGGCACATGAGTTTATTTAAGTTTAAATTAATTTAGATAAAATACTCAGTTACCCAGTTATCTTAGCCACATTTTAAGTCTTCAATAGCAGCACGTAGGTAGTAGATACCTTGTTGGGTAGTGCAGATACAGGCATTGCCATCATCACAGACAGTTCTCTTGGACAGTGTTGCTCTAGGGTATTTTAAATAAAGGAATATTTGATATGTTTACTATTTACAGTTGTGACCACACAGAAAATGAACTAGGAAGCTGAGTAGTTGATGTATTTGAGTCTTCCCACCATACCTTCCAAATCTTGATAAAATTATTTGGCACGCTCTTTGACAGATGAAGGCTACTTTAAAATGACTTTGATTTCAGTACAAGTTATAACTAAGTAAAGGCTCAGAAAATGAAGTGTGTTTACTCAATAACTTTTGGGAAACTGGAGTTTTGAATATTTTCTGAAAGAAATGGCTAATCCATGAGATCAATGCTTTCTCTGCAGCACCGTCCAAACCTTTTCTTCTGAGCGCCCCGACATTCTACTCGGCATGTTGTGGTGGGTCCTGTCGGCGCCCTGTGTCCTCCGCTGCTTTTCCAAGTAAGTTTATGCTTCATCAGCAACGCCTCAGTTATTCTGTACACTAAAGCAGCAGAATTTAATGTGTTCTGGAAAACTAATTGGTAATGCAGTGGCAAGGAGCTAATTCCTCACTAAAAATCACAGCGATCCTATTCAGGAGGTTTCCAGAGATTTATCAAACCTCAGCACACTGAGCAATTGTGAGTGGTTTCTGACGGCATTGAAACCCAGGGCTGACACACCAAGGAAAGTGACTTGTTTTCCATTTGATATAAAAGATTTCAGAAGGTCCAGTTTGGCTCTTTTTGAAACATGTAACAACACTCCTTTAAAGAAGAGAAAAGAAAGGAAAAAAGGCAAAAAAATATTTGTGCTGCATAAAATCTCCATTCAGCTTAAAATGTGACACAGAAAGTCAGTAGGTGTCTATAGAAAATAATTAAAAATTGTCCAGATCATAAAAGGAGATAAATCTGTCCTTTTTATCATCTTGAAAAGAACCAACCAGGGTTATAGGAAATATCTTCAAGAGAACTCTTCCCCAAACATCATAAAAGCAAAATTTTAATAGTGTCTGGGGGCGGAGTGAGGATGACAAACTTTCAAAAATTTGTAGTGTGTGCGCGCACTGTCACACACAAAGAAGAAATGTCTAAAAGTAAAGTTCACATTGGTCTTGAGATTTCTGGGTCAGAAAAGAATCTGTAGGCAGAGAATTTGAGTTTATGGTCAAGAAGTCCAGTGGAGGGGTGCATTTATTTGAACTGCTCAAGAGAAAACATTTATTCAGGTTAACAGCTTTGCCAGGTGAAAAGCGAAGTAAGAGTTGAGTCAGGCTAAAGCACTGAGCTCAATCACACTTGAATTCAGATCCCTGCCGCCTCTGTGCATGTGTTTTATGAATGTTTCAGGAGAGCAGTTGCTCGACAGAATGATTCCTGACAAGTGAGGCAGTAAATGCTGGCCGTTTAATGAGCTGCAAGCTCTGGGCATCTCTTTAGGGGGCTGATACTTTCCCACAGAGCACTTTACATGCCTGGGACCCAACCACAATGGGTGACAGACCCGTGACCAATCGTCACTTTCACTTGACTCATCCACACGCGACCTCACCACGATTTTTCACTCTGCAGATGAACTTTAGGAACCATTTCACATGGAAAAGGCTTGGGCAAGGGTCAGTTGCCCTTTTGTATGGTCATAAAGCAAGGCTCTGTGTGTCAGTCTTTTCTCCTGTCTCACATTCCAAGTGAATTTCTGGACACCATTTAAAGCACTTGACTGAAAAATAAGGCAGTGAATGAAACTGACTTTTATAGACTCATTCTAGCTCATCTTCCCATAGAACCCTGTCTACCTGAAAAGGGATTTAGTGGATGAGCTGAGTGTATACAGGGGCTTGCTGAATACACAGGCCCATTATCAACTGTGGGGATTGTTTATTAACCAGGGCTGATACACTACTATTTTGGAAGTGACCTATTAATTGTCCATTTAACTAGAATGTATTGCATTCAAATGGAAAAATAGAAACCATGACTAAACCTTTTACTCGCTCCTTCAAGGTGGTCTCCTATGTGGGCGATTGAAAACTGTTGGGCAAATTAAGGAAACATTTATCACCATATATTGGGGTATCAGGAAAAGACTTCTGTAGTAGAGACTTAAAACACAAATATCTGATACTGTATCATAGTAGCGTCTCTGTGGAATTATGTCTTTGGTGTTAGATTTTGGGAGTGGAGATTCAGTAACCCACACTTAGTTTGGTTATTCACCTTGGTATAATACCTTTACTTTAGCAAATCTCCAGCAGTACAGCTCAGGTAAGTGGACATGGACAAAAAAATCCATGTAATAGGTGGACTTTCATGTATGTATGTGTGAGTGTGTTATTTTATAGTGGTATTTTAAGAGTCTCTAAGCCATAAAAATTGAGCCGGTTCTATAAATAGAGCACATAAAAGTAATTCTTAAGACATTTTCTAGATGACTTTATCTTCTCAACTGCTTGAAAAATTACTTTAAGTGGGTCTCATTTTCCTCCATCTGCTTCTTAGTCCTCACTTTGTGCCTTTTGCATAACTGTTGTAAATTATGGTGTTTATCCCTAGAGATTATAAAGTCCTGTGTTTATCTGAGTTGTTTTTTTTTTTTTTTAAATAAACACACAAGCTGAAAATCAGCACAGCTCAGATCAAGGATAGAAAATTCTGCTTTTAGTTTGTCTCCATTTCTAAAGTTGGCATTTTAAAACAGTTTGGTGATGCCACAGGTGTTCTTAATAAACAGTGGTGTCTCATATTATTAGTTATAACTCTAAAATGAATTTCTTATTTTTTTATTTACAATGTTTGTTGGTATTGGCAGTAAATAATAACAAAATAGTGGAATTAAGCTGTCAATAAAGAATTCTACAGAAATAATCATGATACCAAGGAGTAGTTAATAAGGTTTACATCTGTACAATAATCTTTTTTATTTAGGCATTTACTAGATTTCCTTTTTTTCTTCTTTTTAAATTAGAATGGTTTTTATGCCCAAGCTTTTAAATTATTTTCCATCATACAAAGGAAAATGAACTAAGTAAATTCATATTAAGTTTCAGCTTCAACAGCCAAAATTAAGGTTTATATTAAAAATTTTAATAACTGATGAAATCAGTGGCCCTCATCGTTGTTGCACAATATTGACTTCACTCTTTCCAAAAGACTAGCATCAGATCAACACATTTCTAACTATGCAAGTGAAATATCATTTTGACTTCTTTAGTATGTTTCATTTGTTTAATATCGATTCAGGTTTTCTTGTTACCTTCTTAGATATACAATTGACTTCTTGTTGCAATGTGGAAACAATCATTCATCCAGTGCCCTTCTCACATACAGTTAAATAGTTTAATAGGTTATTTAAGCACAACCCTTACAGTGGGGAAAAATTAAAAGGCAGTGGTAAAGTTCTCCCTTCCCCCAAAGCAGTATATGGAAAATCTTTGATTACATCCATAAGGTTCTTTTCAAAATAACACATTTCACAAATAACATGAAATGGAAAATTGTGGAAATTATGTAGATAATGACTTTTTAAAAACTACTTGAAAAAGTATAGGCATCTTAATTATGTAGACTAACTAACTGAATTAATCAGGTAATTATTTTGTTTCATCTTTGAGTACCCAACTTGAATTTCACCTTTTGAGAATTTTATGCCTTAAAAGACAAAGCTTAAATTTGGAGAGGCATTATAAAAATCTGAGCAGGGAAAATATTCTTTTGAGACAAAACACTCTGCCTTTTTCTTGGGAGTTGAACTTATATTGTACATTTTGAGGTTGTCATACTATCTTCATTTTCTTGTTAAAAGAACATAATGTACTTTCCAAGTTTGAATTTAGGATTTTGTGGAAGGCAGCAGGGAAGAGACATTACTTTTTTTGCTGTGAATGTAACTTGGTTCTGTGAGTTTCATTTTAAAGATGGGTAATTGACTGATCATTATTCTTGCCACCTGACCTGGCTGTGTTCTCTTTTACTGCTCTCAGCGGGAGTGGCCAATGGACTGAGGAAACTGACCAGGACCTGTGGAAAGCCACAAAAGGCTGCATACAAATTTTTTAAAATGAGGATTTAACTTTAGCACTGTAAGGTATTCAGAGTGATGCGGCATTTTTTTCCTAATAGAGACAGAAGCTTAATTATATTGTCTGAAACATAATAGAGTTTGTGCAATAAGATGAATACAGGTATTGACTTCTCAAAAGTGAAGGGAAGTATATAGATAAATGACATTCAGTCAACCAGGAAAAATGTTTAAAGGAATCAGAGACTCAAAGACAATAGATTTTCCAAGTTGATGGCTCTATTCAGCAGTTCTGGAGAAGCAGTGAAAGTACTGGAATAACATTCCTGGAATGGAGTCCTTTTCTTCCCAAACGTTCTTAAGCAGTTAGGAGGGTGGAGAAGGGCATGGGTGATGGGTTGGGAAGGGGAATTGCTTAGCATTATTGGGTACTTGTCCTTGATCTTATCTGTAGCCCTTGCCTGAACATAACATGGAATCTAACAGGGCTGCTTATAAAGTCCTGATTTTAGGTGTCTAAAACCAAGTGCACAAGTATGGAAGAGGAGAAGGGGAGAATGGGCTGAATAGAACAAAGTGAGAAAGAGATACACCATCAGCTCTGTATGTGTCCGCAGAATGATACAGGGATGCTAGAATGTGCTTTTAGAAATATACTATTCAGAACACAGGTGATTAGAGTCCCACTGGGCTCTGAAACGGTCAGTCTATACCTCAGTTCTAGAGACCCATGTAGAAAGGTACATTGAACAAACTCTCTCATAAAATTCAGGTTAATAGGTAGAGAGCAACTAAAATAGTGAAGGATCTGGCCGGGCGTGGTGGCTCACGCCTGTAATCCTAGCACTCTGGGAGGCTGAGGTGGGCGGATCGTTTGAGCTCAGGAGTTCGAGACCAGCCTGAGCAAGAGCGAGACCCCGTCTCTAC